GTAAATGGATAAATTAGTGTTTTGCTACCTATGAGTGGAGACAAAATACCTTAGCAATATCATCAATAAAAACAATTTAAAAGAAACATCATGATTCATAAACTGAATCAGGCACGTGAGTCAGCAAAGGCTAAAAGATTTCTCCAAATAGTAATATAGGCCCTGAAGCAAAGGAGCGAGGTCCTAACACAGACAGCTGGAAGACAAGAATAGCATGGCACACACAGAGGAGGATGGGGGGCACCAGAAAAAGCCTCCAGGCCAAAGCAGAACTATACTGGCTAAAGGTTTGCAACTGTCCTTAGTCAGGAAGAACTGGACATCGTGATGAAGATCCCACCGTATATCCTTGTAGCTTGTTGAATATATTTATGTTTGGGGTAGCACAGAACTACATACACGGCTCTCATTTCACTGAGTGGATTCTGTTAATCTTTTGTTGGCTCCTGAAAATCACAAATAAACATCTCTCCAATGGACCAGTGCAGGTAAAATTCAGAGTAGGCAAAATGAAGGACTTTCAGAAAGCGTATTTCATCCAGACGTTTGACACATGACGCTTCTCTAGAACAAATGGCTTCTGGCTGGGTGACAGAATGATGATGCCATAGAACCACCAACGGACTATTAAATTTGCTTTCTTCAAACTCAAAGGGATTATGACATTAGATACAAAGCAGCCAATCATCTCCTTCCTTTCTTCCTCCCTGGCTCCCTTCCTCACTCCTTCTCTGCCCCCTTCTTTCCTTCCTTCCTCTTCCCTTTGTGTTAACAAGTCAGTTCAACAAATTTAGATAGAGGGCATAGGACATACCAGTTGCCCTGCTGAGATATAAAGCTAAATAAGCCTCTTCTTCAAGGGACTCACATGCTTATATAGAAGGCAGAGAAGTATAATATCCTGTGGTAATTGAAACAATATTAACATGTCCAGAAGTTAAAGAGAGGAAACATAAAGAAGAGAGAAATGAGCTCTGAGTGGTTGGGGCAGTTAAGATTTTTGTCAGTTTGAGCTGGGTTTAAATTGATTAAAAATGCAACTAGAGAGAAATCCCTTGTTTATTTTCTGGAGGTTAGGGGTATTAGTTATTCCAGCAAGCCTGCAGAATAAATTGTACTCAAGAAAGAAGTTCAACTTTTGGTGATTAGCCAATACTCTCAGAATCAAGGCTTGTCCTGAACTGAACTGTGAACCAAAACTTGAAACAAAGGGCAAGATTTGCTCAAACTGAACCTTAACCAGTGTGTTAAAAAACAAAAACAAAACCAACTAGCATTTAAAAATGCCACAACTGCAAGAGGTCATGGAACTCATTTAGTGCATGTTTTTCACTATATAGATGGAAAAAAATGAGGTGGAGGGTGATTAAAGACCTATGTAAAGTCATGAGAAACCACCATTGGCAGAGTGTGAGATAAAGTAGTGGGTCCATGTTCCAAGTTAGTTGTTCTTTCAACTTCTCCAAGATACCTAAAAGTGTATCACAAAAGAAAGGTTTGATTTTTTTACCTTTTCTTTCCAAATAATTGTCTAGTTGATACTATCCTAAAATAATCAAATTGGGACAAAGTTAGAACATCAAAATGTTTTCCAAATAGAACCTTTACTTATTTGACATTTTCTTCCATATACAGAGGGTGCTAAAAAAAAAGGTATACACATTTTAAGAAAGGAAAAAACTGTATTAAAATTGTAATACTCAATATATACAGATAACAAAAGAGGAATACAGTCCTGTGTATACATTTTTTTGGCACCCTTGGTATATAAAAAAGTAGGCTTACCAACTCTTTGAACAGAGTCTCCACCTTGCTGAATGCATACTTGTAATTAAAAGCATACGGATTCTTCTGTGATCAGAAACAGACTATTTGCACACCAGGCTCTAGCTTTTTCTTTAACTGATTGCTATCAAACACCCTTAAAAGCTCTGTGGAGGGGATTATTATTAAGGGGACTTATGAGACTGTCCACTTATTCCTATAGGTATGGAATTTCTAAGTTTGTAGCAAATAATATCACCAGAGCTAAAAAATAGGCTGTCAATTGTTTAACCCTCTCTTTGATGACTTGTGTTCTAGTGGGGCATTGATCAAAGGTGACTGTAAGAAACAATCATATCAAGATCATTTCTATATTTTCTTTACTAAAGGGGGTTATTAAAAACATCTTCATCCCTGTTGTTTTATACTGTTTGGAAAAGGATAAATATATTTTAGAATTAGTAGCAGAAAAATGCTTTTCCATTCAAAGAACTGGTATATATATTTAAAAATCAATAATCATAACACACATTTTCCTTTCTGTCTTGGCTTCCACAAAGTTCAGAAGTAAATGTAAAATAAGGCTCAATTGTAGTACATAGGCTTACAATTGGGGCATATTTACTTTTTCCATTAAAAATATTTCTAATGTAACAATGATATTATCTACAAGTCTTTTACTGTAAGCCATCTCAGATCCTTTTTTGGAAATAGTTGGGGGTAACTGATGACTAAATAGGTAAAACATTCCCTTGGTTTTGCGTCATTGAGTACTATGCTGCTTTGTTATTAATAAAAAGTTCTTACTATGCACAACCACACACCAGAGTTCTAGGAAAGCCAAGAGGTACACGAAATAGTCTATGGGCCTTAGGGTCTTGAATCCAGTTGTGCTGCTAGGGCACTGTAGAGATAAATAACATCACGTTGCATAGTCTGAAGGGATTTCAAAGACCCATTCTATCCTAAGACTCTAAGTCTAATTACTAAATTAGTAATGTGAACATTTGGTCAAGGCATATTCTGTTTTGAGTCAGCTTAAATATTGATATTTTGACTAACACTTTTCTGAGGGCGGTGAAGTTTTTGGGTAGTTTCGTTTCTGAATAAGCAAGCTTTCATAAAAGCAGTCGTGTTCATGGTAGAAATTTAGAAAATCAGAAAAGTATAAAGCAGCAAATTAAAATCACCCATAATCATACCTTCATATTGCATAAGATAACACAATATATATAATTCAGTGTCCTTCTTTTTTTTACTTCACATTACACATTGAGCATTCCTAGATACTAGATAGTCTCCAGTGACAGGACTTTTTTTTTAAAGATTTTATTGGGGAAGGGAACGTTGTGTTTTTCCAGGACCCATCAGCTCCAAGTCAAGTTGTTGTCCTTCAACCTTAGTTGTGGAGGGTGCAGCTCAGCTTCAAGTCGGGTGGCTGCTTTCAATCTAGTTGCAAGGGGAGGTGGGGGGGCGGGGCGCAGCCTACCATCCCATGTAGGAATCAAACAGGCAACCTTGTTAAGAGCATGCGCTCTCACTAGCTGAGCCATCTGGGTGCCCAACCGGACTTTTATTGTGCACCATTTTAATGAATGATTTGCTCAACCAATGCCCTACTGTTGGAGATTTTGATTGCTTCCAACCTAATTTTCTCTATTAAATATAATACTGTGATCTATATTTGTAGTAATAGTAATGATAGCATTTGTGAAGCACTTACTACAGTATATGCCAAGCACAGTACTAAGTACTTCACATGAATTTTTATTAGTCTCATAATAATCCTATGAAGAACTATTATCTCTTGTTTACAGATGATGAAACCAAGGATTAGAGGTTAAAATGCCTCAGCAAGGAAGAGGATTTAACCCCTCATTTGACATAAATATTCCAACTTGTTTTTTATGAATAAATTGGTTTGTTCAAAGATTCCAATTGCCTATTGAAATATGCAATTATTGTCTTCAAATTAAGAAATTCCCTTCCTCTTTCTTTATGTTTTTTAAAGGAAAAAAGTGTCTAATGAATTTTATTTTTCTACGTTAGCAATTATCCTATTATGATAGAATAACATGTGTTATGCACCCTTATAGTCATTTTGTGATCTACAGAAAATGGTAGGAACACAGGCTCCAAAAATGAGCCTCTTATTTTTATTAGAGGACAGTAAAACCACTGTATTTAAGAGAAATAAAAACAAGAGGTGGTCAAGTTCTGAATTTTACAGTACTTGGACATATGCAATGTTCATATATTTTCAAGTACCTAAAGAAAAGAAACTGAATTACACTAGTTAAGTGAGCTGAGCCCTGCTCCACCCTACTGTTTTAATGACTAGACAAGGATGATTTGCAATGAGTAAGTACATCATTTGATGGTATATAAAATAAGGGCTTCTAAAGTGCTTAACATGGTTGAAATGGTTTCATTTCAAACTATCATTGTGGCTTAGTACTTCCTTTTGAAATAGTGTCAAAGCAGACCTGAACTTTCACAAAGTCTCAGAGACTTCAGAATTAAATGAACTTTAAAGTACTCAATGATTCTAAAAATATACTAACAAATCTTGTCTAATCCTAAGGGATTAATTTTAATTTGTGAACATCCTGGAGCTAAAATCTATTGAGCTGGGCACCCACCCAGTGGGCCAAGGAACAAAGTAAAAGATAGAAGCAGGAAGAATTGAAATTTTAGTAAAAGCAAGTTTCACATAGGTAAGTCCTAGGTATTACAAATGAAAGATTAAAGGCCTAAGAAGTGAAAGAATGAAGAAGGCGCCAAACATGCTTTCCTAACCAAAAACTTCTATGGAGAAATAATCGTTGCTTTTCTAGACAAGAGGTCTCCAGCTGACCCCCTGCCTCTCCCTACTCCCCTCCCCCTGCCCCCGCCCGCCCTTATTCCACACTGAGGGCCGGTCCGCTGCAGCCGCTGTCTGTAGTCTTGGTTCCCTCCAGCCCCTGGCCCAACCTGGAGTCTCCGTGGTAGGAGGCGCCCTCGCCTGGGGCCCGCAGCAGCAGTAACAACAGCGGCTGCTGCAGCAGCATTAGGAGCAGCAACACTGCATTCCCTGGCGGGTGCCCGGGAACCCCGAGGCTAGCGGGAGGGCTGCTGGGCTCCAGGTGGGTGGAGGGCGCAGTGGGCGCTGGGCGGCGACCGGAGCGTTGCCACGACGCCGGCGGCGCGCGTCGCTAGCGGCCGCCCACCCACGTCAAGGTTTGTTTAACAATCGCCCTGGTATTTATGGCCCGGGCTTTGGGCAGCCGCGGGGGTGTCAGGAAACTGTGCGGGGCAGCGGATGAGGCGCTGCGGCGGTGGCTCAGGGCACCTCCCCCCCGGCTTCCCAAACCCTGCCAGGTACCACCCACGGGGGAGGATGGAAACATCCGCCGCGCTCTGAGCCGCTCAGGAAGGTAACAGCCTTCCCGCCAAGTCACCCGAGGTCCTGCGTAGGCCACCGACTCGTCCCCTCCACGCCTCCATCTCTCAGAGCGGGGCCGAGCGGAAAAGCGAGCGATGGCGGAAAACCTGAGGAAACTAGTCTCCAGCGAATCCTTACGACCGATGCAGGACAAGCTGGAGCTCTGGCTGAGGGAGTACAACGTGAGTCAGGGTGGAAGACCCCCGGGGCTCGCCCCCCCTCTCAGTCCTGTGCAGCCCTCGGAGGGGGTTCTGAGGGCAGGCATCCGGCGGGCCGCTCTGCAGAGCCGCGGCGGTTGTGATTCCGAGCAGGGACCCAGCCTCAGTGCGGGATCGCGGGGGAGGAAGGACAGGCTGGTGTCTGCCAGCGCCCTTTGCTCTCCACCGCGCGAGGCGGCGCTGGGGTGGCGCGGCCCGCGGAGCGCGGGACTCGGAGCGGAGCAGTGGAGAGCGCAGTCCCTTTAGTGGTAACCAAGGACGCTGGTGGCCCTAGCAACCGGAGAGACCAGCGATCCGTCGTGGGTCTGGGCAAGCCTGACACGCTCTCCCCCGTTCCATCCGCCAGCAATCCACCCCACTACCCCCAACTTGAATTTTTATTTTTTACTATAACCTTCCTCTTACCTCTGGGTAAATCTCCTACTCTTGGGGATACTCAGGGGTTGTATCAGGATAGATTTTTGCAATACATCCAGGATTTATTACCCAGAGGGAGTGAAATGGACACTTGTCAACGTTGCGGTTTCACTGGTATGCTGGTCAGCATGGCATGTGAGGCACAGTTAAAACTCCAAGGCAGGTTTTGGAAGGCCTGTTGCCAGCGCATTTGTAAGAAGCCAATATTCTGTACCAAACGCAGAGTGCTCTTCAAGTTTTCTTAACACCCCCTCCCCCCAACTCCGGTAATCTCCACCCCCACTCCAGCTCCCGTTACTTCTCCCCACCTCCAGAAGTTAGAACTCCGGTGCTGAATTTGCTTTACATCCGGCCAGTCCGTCTTACACAGGAGAGTCCGCTCTTGCATAGCACGTAGAACGGTGAGGCAGACAGCTGGGGACCTGGAATCAGCCCTCCTAGAGTCTAGGGTCTGGCTCTGCATAGAACTAGCTGAATGACCTGGGGCCATTGATTTAACCTCTCTGGCTCTCAGTACCTTCTCTGTTAATTGGGAGAGTCTGGACTATATGATAAAGTTCCTTTTCGGATCTCAGTTTTTTGAGTCTAGGTCAGCTTATTATTTCTGAAATCCTACCAGGAAAAATGTAACTGGCTGCTGTCCTGAGTCCCTTGGGCTTTCCCATTCACCTTTTAACCAGGGCGCCTGAGGTGGAAGGGAGCTCAAAGAACAGCTACAGCTTTCTCCTTAGCCTTCCTTCCTGGTGTTTGGTGTTACCCGCTTTGTCCACTTTTAAAGAGCCAGCGCTGACTATTCCTTCTCCATCTTGGTTGCAGGAAAATTAGGATTTACATGTGTATCACAAAAGCCTTGGGCTCCCCCACCAACTTTAAAAGTGCCTACTTGCTACCTGGTCTCAGAAAGTTGAGAATAACAAATCTTGATACATGTATTTACCCTTCTTAAAATGATCTCTTAAAAAATAATTTTTTTATTGCCTTGTGGCCTAAATAAACTCTGAATGTTAAAAAGTATATTTAGTTTGACACAAGACAACATTTAACACAAATGACACTAGCATTTAGCTGGACCAAATTAAGTGATTGTTTACCTGTAAGTACTGAGAAATGCCAAAGTTGATTGTACTTTTCCTTCTTCTTAACAGTGGTCCATCTCACTCCTCTGTTCTCAATGAAACCATTTCAACCTAGCTTCTAGAACCCACTACTCGCATACACGTAGTACAGACTGCACTCTCAGACACCGGTGCCTTTCTAAATTATGTGTCCATTTCCCATAATTTTTTTCAACTCTCTGGCCTCTCTGTCGCATTTGACTGTTGACACCCCATTCTTCTAAGACTCTATAATAATTTGTTATTTGTCTCCTTGCCTTAATCTACTCCCTCATGTGGCTGTTCTTCAAGGGCCAGACTTTAGAAACCTTACCTTCAACCTCCATTCCTTCTTCAGCTTTTATAAGTATGCTGATGAATCTCATATCTGTATTCAGGGCCTGTTCTCATCTGAGCTCTCACTTCTCCAATTGACCATTGGACATTTTCAGTTGTACTGTCATCTCGAAGTCAAAACTGACATTAGCAGGGCTGGCCGAGTGGCTCAGTTGGTTAAGAGCTCGCTCAAGAGTTTGAGCTCTGAGCAACAGCGGTTCGATGCCCGGCCCGGGCTGAGCTGCCAACAGGTGGCAGGATGGCTCAGCTAAAAAAAAAAAAAAAACCACAAAAAACAAACAAAAAAAACCTGACATTAGCTTATTCTATGCCCCAAACACTGACCTTTTTCCTAATTTATCTTCTTCATGAACCACTCCATATCCTTTTCATCAGCATAATCTGTTGGTACCAGCTTGTAAATTTAAATACACGGAACTTGAGCACTTTTCATCATCTCTACTGCTACCACCCTTGTCCCCCTTCAGTCATCTTTCATCTGGATTATTACATGAATAACCCAAAGTGATTCTTTTAAATGTCAAGTCAGATCAAGTTACTACTCTGTCAAAACCCTCCAGACTTCTAATCGCTTGGAATAAGGGCCACAGTTCCTAAGATGGCCACCAAGCTCCTATGAATTTGTGTTCCTTTAAACACTGTGACTTCATCTTACTCTCTTGCTTGCTCAATCCACCCTACAATTCTTGGTCTTCTTGTTCTTTCTAGAGCAAAGCTCTCCAAAAGAACTTTCTATGTTCTGAAACATGTTCTGAATCTGCACTGCCCAATATGGTGGCTATTGAAACAAATCATAAAAATAACAGCAAACATTGCCAACTCATTTTCTTTTAGTTATTAAAGATATGCTGGATTATCACATTACTTGGCCTTTGAAAGTTGAGTTCCACTGGATGTTCAGGGACAGCTTCATGTGAACACCTAACTTTCAGAATTGTTTTTTGTGGTTAATGAGAATGTTGGTGAAAGAACCATAGAGAATCCCTTTTTGTTCAACCAAGAACTGAACCTATTTTAAGAGCTTAATTCATTCAACAAGTGGTTACTGAGCTTCTGCTATGTGTAAAAGTTTGGGTGAGACACTCTATACTTTTTGCAGTGCATTTATTAATTTATTCATTCAACAAATATTTTTTCAGAGTTTACAATGTACCTGTCTGTGCTAGATGCTAGGAATAGAAAATGTCAACTGCATCACAATGATGAACTTCCAATTGGAGAAAAGGACAAAGAATAGAGGAAATAACATGAGCAGAAAGTGGGGAGTGTGAAAAGGCTGGGATATTTGGGGATCCTGTGAATAAATAGTTCAAGGCAAGGAGTGGAAGTGAGATGAAGCTGAGGAGGTGGAGTGGTGGGGGCCAGAGGGTGGAGGTGCCTCAGATGCTGTGTTAAGGAGTTTGGACTTGATCCTGAGGGCAATGGGGAGAAACAAGGCATTGTGCAGGGAGGACACATGTTTGGACTGTTTTGGAAAGGTTGCTCTAGCTGTTCATGATGGGGACATTGGGAACGCTAAGGAGAATGGACAAGGCTGAAAGATACTTTAGGCAAGACATGATATGAATCAGCCTCTTGTAAACTATGCTGGCATATTTAGTAAAAAAGGCCAAAGACTCTGCAGTGAAAGGGACAAAATGAGTGGTGGTCATTTTGGTGCACACATGGCTGCACAAACTACTAGGGAAGCTGAGGAGAGCATTCTAGCTGGGTGCCCAGGAGGAAAGGGAAATATATCTACTGACGTCTACTGCTTTGGCTTTGCAGAGAAACTCATATGATCAAAATTTAAGTCTTTGCCTCGAATTCATCGAACAAGTTGCTAAAGTGCAGGGACAACTCTTTGGAATCCTCACTGCAATAGCGCAAGAAGGTGAGAATGGCCAGAGCTTTCCCATGCTGCTCTCCCTTCTTTTCTTTCTTTTCTTTGTGCTCTCTGAGTTGGTGTGGTTGGATATCTCTCACTGGTCTGATTTGTGGATTCTTTTAGGAGGACGTTATGATAATGTGGAAGTAATCAAATCACGCCTTTTGCCTTGGCTGGAGGCCTCCTTTACTGCTTCTCCCCTGGGAAGACCTGTTATCAGCAAGGCCCCCTCTCCACAGGTAAGGATGCTAAAGGATTCCTCTTGACTTTCAGCAGGCTCTGGGAACTCAAATGTATGTAAGATATGGTTTTGACCTAATGAGGGGCTCAATTCTACTTAGGGAATTGGGACGTAGGTATAAAAGGTGAGTTTTTGTTTACAGTAGTGTGGGGCACAATGGATTAAGTTTTCTCTTAAGACAGACCTGCGTTCAAATCTCAGCTTTGCCTACTTACTAGTGGTGTGACTTCAAGCAAATCAATGAGCCTCTGCTTCCTTGGCTATAAAAAGGGCCTGGTAATGATCTACATCTAAGACATTGCTTGGCCCACGCTAGACATTAAATAGTAACTTTTAAATGACAAATCAGTCACCCAGACAGTTAGGGTACCACGGTTTCTCAGAAGGGAAAGAGACAATTAGATGGGGGAAAGCTCAGTGTTCTGAAGGAGTGAAATGAAACTAATTGGAAGTTTCCGAGATAGGAAGAAAACTCAGTTCTGGTAGTAGACTGAGAAGGGGAATCATAATGTGTGGATGATATCAGTGGTTCCCATGGGACAGTGTCAGTGTTTTAACACTTGAAGACCAGACTGGAAAGAGAACATATATCTTGCTTAAGGCACTGGCATCATTATGGCCGGGTAAGCAAAACATTAGTAACCTTGATTTTAAATGTTTTTATGGATTTACATAAGTTCCTTTCTAAAATTAAAGACTGTTGAGCAGGCCGTTTAAGCAACAGGGCTTTTATAAGGTAGTGGCTGAAGGATTCCTGTTTGGAGATCACTGGACAGAATCCTAGTCCCTCCTCTATGGTCCTGGGCAGGTTGTCTAACCTTTTATGTCATAGCATCCTCATTTGCTGAATGGGGACAATGTTTTTGCTGGTCTAATAGGGTCATTGTGAGAATTAAAGTGATAAGCATGCAAAACAATTTACATGTGATAAGTATTCTATACTCGTAGATGTTGTCTTTTTTTTTCGATACTTTTATTTTATATTTATTTATTTAGTCAATTGCCTGCGATCATAGCAGAATTGTATTTTATTTTATTTTTATTAGTTTCAGGCATACAGAACAACATAGTGATCTTAACTTACAAAATGATAACCTGAACAAGTCTACTACCCACCTGATGATGTACATAGTTATTAGAACATTATTGACAATATTCTCCATGTTGCATTCCATATCCCCATGACTATTTTTTAAAATTATAGTTGACATGCAATATTATTTTATATTAGTTTTAGGTGTACAGCGTAGTGGTTAGACATTTATATAATTTATTAAGTGATTCCCCCCAATAAGTCTAGTACCCATCTGACACTATACACAGTTTTTGCAGTACTATTGACTGTATTTCCCAGATTGTACTTTCCATCCTCATGACTCTTTAGTAACTACCAATTTGTACTTCTTAATTCCTTCATCTTTCTTACCCAGCCCTTCAGCCCCTCTCCCATCTGGTAACCATCAGTTTGTTCTCTGTATTTACGGACCTGTTTCTGTTTTGTTTATTTTGTGTCTTCATCAGTCTGACTTATTACATTAAGCATGATACCCTCCTAGCTCCATCCATGTTGTCGCAAATGGTAAGATTTCATTCTTTTTTATGGCTGAGTAATACTCCATTGTATAAATGTACCACTACTTCTTTATCCAGTTGTCTATCGAAGGGCATTTCGGTTGTTTCCATATCTTGGCTATTGTAAATAGCATTGCAGTGCACATAGGGGTGCATATATCTTTTCGAATTAGTGTTTTAGATTTCTTTGGATAAATGTTGACCCATTCATTGTTTAGTAGCATGTTATTTAGCCTCCATATATTTGTGTGTTTTTCTTTTTTTCTTTTTCTTTCTTTTTTTTGTAGTTGAGTTTTAGTTTTATACCATTGTGGTCAGAGAAGACACTTGATATAATTTAAATCTTCATAAATTTATTGAGGCTTGTTTTATGGCCTAATATGTAGGCTATCTTGGAAAAATGTTCCATGTGCACTTGAAAAGAATGTATATTCTACTGCTTTGGGGTGAAATGCTTTAAAAGTATTGATTACATCCATCTGGTCTAGGTGTCATTTAAGACCACTGTGTTTATGTTGACTTTCCATCTGGAAAATCTGTCTATTGGTGTCAATGGGGTGTTAAAGTCCCCTGCTATAATTGTGTTACTGTCGATCTCTCACGTTAGGTTGGTCAATATTTGTTTTATATATTTAGTGCTCTTATGTTGGGTGTATAGATGTTTCCTAGTGTTATATCCTCTTATTGGATTGATTCTTTTGTAATTATGTAATGTCCTTTTTTGTCTCTTATTATAGTCTTTGTTTTAAAGTTTATTTTGTGCTATATAAGTATTGCTACTCTGGATTTTTTTCATTTCCATTTGCTTGAAATACTGTTTTCATCCCTTTACTTGCAGTCTATGTGTGTCTTTCGATCTGAGATGGGTCTCTTGCAGGCAGCATATTTATGGGTCTTGTTTTCTTATCCATTCAGCTACCGTATGTCTTTTGATTGGAGCGTTTAATCCATTTACATTTAAAGTGATTATTGCTAGGTACCTAGTTATTGCCATTTTATTATTCATATTTTTGATCTGCATTCGTTTGTTTTTATTCTTATTTCTTCTGCTTAAAGAAGTCCTTTTAACATTTCTTGTAATACTGGCTTGGTGGTAATGAATTCCTTTAGCTTTTTCTTGTCTGGGAAGCTCTTTTCTCTCTCCTTCAATTTTAAATGATAGCCTTGCTGGGTAGGCTAGTCTTGGTTGTAGGCCCTTGTTTTTCATCACTTTGAATATTTTCTGCCACATCCTTCTGACCTGCAGTTTCTATTGAGAAATCAACTGACAGTCTCATTGGAGCCTCCTCCTTGTCTTTCTCTTGCTGCTTTTAGGATTCTCTCTTTGTCTTTAATCTTTGGCATTTTAATTATAATGTGTCTTGGTGTGAGCCTGTTTGGGTTCATCTTGTTTGGGAATCTCTGCACTTCCTTGACTTGTATATCTATTTCCTTTGCCAGATTAGAGAAATTTTCAGTCATTATTTCTTCAAATAAGTTTTCAATTCCTTGCTGTCTCTTTTTTCTTTCTGGTACCCCTATGATACAAATGTTGGTATGCTTGATGTCCCAGAGACCCCTTAAACTCTCGTCATTTTTTTGGATTCTTTTTGCTGTTCTGAATAGGTGTTTTCTGCTACCTTACCTTCTAAATATCTGACTCAAACCTCTGCTTCATCTAAACTACTGTTGATTCCTTCTGATGCATTCTTCATTTCCATTATTGTAGTCTTTATTTCTGACTGTTTTTTTTTATGTTTTCAATCTCCATGTTTTTTTTTTTTAATCTGAGTAATCCTGCCACCTGTTGGCAGTTTAGCGGTAGCTCAGCTTGGGCCGGGAATCGAACTGGCAACCCTGACCACTCGGCTGGCCCCTCCATTTTTATGTTTCCTATCTCTTTGTTGAAGTTCTCCTTGAGATCATTGAGCATCCTTATAACCAGTGTTTTGTGTTTGAACTTTGTGTCTGGTAGATTGCTTGTGTCCATTTTGTTTAGTTCTTTTTCTGGAGGTTTGTTCTGTTCTTTTATTTGGGAAATGTTTCTTTGTCTCTCCATTGGCTGCCTCCCTGTGTTTGTATCTATGTAAGACTTCTATGCCTCTCGGTCTTAATAGAGTGGCCTTATGTAGTAGGTGTCCTGTGCGACCCAGTTGTGCAGTCTCCCTGGTCATCAGAGCTGGGTCCTCCAGGTGTGTTCCTGGTGTGAGTTGTGTGTGCCTTCCTGTTGGAGTTGAAACTTGATTGCTGTTTGCACATCAGTGGGAAGGACTGACCCTCACGCTGATTGGCTGTGAGGACTGGCTGTGACTACAGTGGAAAAGCTGTTGTGCAGGGGTGACCCTACAGAGCAGAGTTAGCTTTAGTGGGGCTCTGGTGCCTGCCCAGTCTGGCCTTTGTGTATGTCATTTTTAGAGGTGGCTGGGTGATGCTCTGGGCCAGTCCAAAGCTGCCTACTGGGCCTGCCATCCCCAGGGCCTCCTGTACAGGGACCTGATGCAGGCCAAGTTCAGTGGCAGTTAGTGCCCTGCCTGGGGACGCCTGGCATGAGCCACAAAGCAATCCAGTGATGGCCCCCACCCTCACTGTCCTTGGAGGTGCCTTGAGAGGCTAAGCCTTGAACCAAGGCTGGCTGTCACTAGTACCAGGCTTAGGACTGCTTAGCTAGAGGTATGGGACATGCATCAGCTGCTGCTTGTTTGGGTTTTGTGGACCTTTGAGAGATTTTAAGAGTCTGCAGCATGAGCCAAGGCAGGCTGTTTACATGGAAAAGCCACTGGAAATGGCTTGGGTGTGCCCAAAAGTTGGGTAGGGTGGGGTCTCAGGGAACCACGAGGGCAGGGCAGACAAAATATGATAGCCAGTTTAATGGAGACTCAGATATGGCATCTGCCTGTGTCTGCATGCAGGGAAGGGGAGGGCTGGACAAAGAAACAATGGCTTCTGCCAGCTCCTCTGTCTGGGAGAAAGCTGCTCCTCCAACCCTCACCCTGAAGCTAGACAATTCAGTTTCTCCCTGTATGTCCCTGGTGCCTTTTGAGCTGCTGCCCCAGTGCTGGAGCTCAGAGCGAGTGAGTCCATCAACGAGTAAGTCCATGTGTGGTCCTTTTTAGAGGCGTGCCTGGGAGTTCGGCTGCCCTCCATCTCACTCAGCCACAATCTTTGCTGGTTTCCACAGCCAGAAGTTATGGGGACTTCTTTCCCCAGCACTGAAACCCTAGGCTGGGTTAGGGCTGGGACCCCTTGCTTCTCAGTGGGGGACTTTTGCAGCTGAGATAGCCCTCCCAATTTTTAATTGTCACACGCAAGTTTGGAACTGACCTATTCTATGTCTTTGCCCCTCCTACCAGTCTTGAGGTGGCTTCCTCTGTATGTCCATAGTTGTAGATCTTCAGTTTAGCTAGACTTCAGGTGATTCTTAATAATGGTTGTTCAGTGGTTTAGTTGTAATTGATGTGGTCCTGAGAGGAGGTGAGCACAGCATTTACCTGCTCCACCATCTTGACCCTATACCCGATTGGGTGTTTTCTACTTCCTTGTCTTCTAAATCACTGATTTGATCATCTGCTTCATCTAATCTGCTGTTGATTTTTTTAGTGCATTCTTCATTTCAGTTATTGTATCCTTCACTTATGACTGGTTCTTTTTTTGGTTTGTATATCCTTCTTTATGCTTACTATCTCTTTGTTCAAGTTCTTACTAAGTTCTTTAAGCATTCTTATAACCTGTGTTTTAAACCCTGCCTGTGGTAGGTTGATTGCTTCCATTTCACTGAGTTTGTTTTATGGAGTTTTCTTTTGTTCTTTTATTTGGGACATGTTTCTCTGTTTCCTCGTTCTGGCTGCCTCTATGTGTTTGCTTCTATGTATTAGGTAGATCTCCTATGTCTCTCAGTCTTTGCTAGGTGGTCCTATGTAGTCGGTGTCCTGTGTGGTCCAGTGGCACAGTCTTTCTGATCACCTATGTGTGTGTTCCAGGAGTGTCCCTTGTGTGTATTGTGTATATTCTGCTGTTGTAGTTGAGCCTTAATTACTTTTGACATGTCAGTGGGTGGGATTGATTCTCAGGCTGACTGGCTGTGAGGATTGGCTATGCCCACAGCATATGAGCTGCTATGTGCGGGCTGAGCCCTCAGAAAGAGATTCTCACAAGTGTGCTGTTGTGCCTATTGATACCACCTCTTGGGTGTGCTGCTTGTGGGGCTAATCAGGTAGTGCACTGGTGTGGTCTGAGGATGGCCTCTGGATGGATTGTTTCTTGTGCCTCTTAGGAGGGGTCACATGCAGGCCAATTTCAGCCTTGCCTGGGATCAGCCTGGGGCTACCTGATAGAGCTACAAAACTATATGTGGTTGTTTGCTGCCTGTGTTGAACCTGGAGGCATGTGGGGGTGGCTTTACTGTGAACCGAGGTTGGCTGCCACCAGTTTCGGTCCTGGGGCAGCTTAACAAAAGTCCCAGAACCCCCCTAAGCCTATTGCCACCTGCCAGCTGCCTGTAAGGCTCAGTGGCTTCCTTAGGTGGGCAGGCTAGGCTGGTTGACCCGGTGTTGACAATGCCCTCAGGATGCTGCCCGAGTTGCGTGGGGCTGGGTTTCAGGGATTCACACCATGTGGCCGGTGTTTTTCACAAAGTTAATGCAGATTCAATTCTTGTGCCAGTACTGAGCCTGTGTCCACTCTGCAAGACACACCACAGAACCCCAGGAGCTGCCCCAGAAAGGCTGCAATGCAAGCTGGGCTGACTGCTCACCATTGAAAGCTTCCCAGGCTGCAGTGGGATGCCAACAGCTTGTGGGTCAGGGCCAGGTGCCCAGGAGCTGAGGGTGCCTCGGTGATTTCACACTAGCTGGGTGGGATCCAAGGGAGTCACCAAGGTGGTGCACGCACAAGTGGATTTTACCGGACCAATTCGATCTCAGATTTGGCTCTGTGGGGGTGGGCTCAACACAGGAAAGATGGCGCTCTCCTATAGGTTACACGTGAGGTGGGCTCCATGCAAGAATAATGGTGGCTATCCCTCTATCACTTGATCTGAAGCCATACAATTCATTCTTTCCCTGTATGTTTCTGGTGCCTCTTGAGTCACCGTTCTTCCACTGGAGCCCAGGGTGAGTGCCTGTGAGTGAGTGACTCTATTCGCAGGCCCTTTAAGTGGACATCTGGGTTTCCAATCACCTTCTGTCTCACAGTGATGGACAGATGGAATCCTCACTGATTTTCACTGCCAGATGTTGTGGGGACTCCTCTTCCTGGCACATGACCCCTGGGCTAGGGAGCCCAGTGTGGGGCTGGGACCCCTCACTCTTAAGAGGGGTCCTCCACTGCTGAGGTGTCCCTCCTGGTGCTCAACCACTACCTGTGGGTTTGGGGTCAGCCCTTTTCACATCTCCACCCCTCCTACTAGTCTCGATGTGGTCTCTTCTTTATAACCTTAGTTACAGTGGACCTGTTCAGCTAATCTTCAGATGATTCTCAAGGTTGATTTTTCTATAATTTAGTTGTAATTTCATGAGATCCTGGGAGGCGGCAGGCATAGTGTTTACCTATTCCATCATCTTGGTCATTTCCAGGTGTCAGTTGTCTTTAAGCTGTTTTTTTCCCGGGAGATTTTCATATGCTTCTTAGATTTTTCACCCCCTGTGCATGTTATCCTGAGTTTAGAGATATAGGATGATATTTCAATGTCTTTTAAAAAAAATTGGGGGTATATTTACCTACAATAACATCCATAGTTTGATGATTTTGACAAATGCATATATCTGTGTAACTCACACCCCTATTAAAATATAAAACATTTCCATCATGAGCATCCCTGTGTCACTTCCCAGCCACCTCCCTCCACCCCCAGGCAACCACTTTTCTGATTTTATCAGTCCAGATTCATTTTGCCTGCACTAGAACTGCATGTAAATGGAACCATACATAGTATGCTTAATTTCTTTTGCTCAGCCTAGTGTTTTGGCAATCTGTCTACATTGTTTTACATATTCAGACTGTTTTTTTCATGTGTGTATCATTGCAGGACACGTTTGATAAGGAGAAACAGAAAGAGTCTGGTGCTCGGAATTGGGCTATACAACAATTAGCCTCTGAGCTGAACTCAGCTCCTAATCAAGTCAATCAGGTTCAAGACGAGTAAGAGGAATGCAAGTTATCTTTTTCCAAAAAAAAAAAAATTTTGTTTGTTTTTTGTTTAATGTTTAAGTTTGAAAGGAGAATAATGGCTCATGTAAAATGTAGACATTTGCTAATTAAGTAATTGTGTGCGTGCGTGCGTGCGTGCGTGTGTGTGTGTGTGTGTGTGTGTTGGGAGTCAGTGTCTTTAATTTGGGGACAGGATTTCTATATTATGTTTTGATCCCTAAGACCCTGCCCCCCTTGGTCCCATTCCTGGACCTCCTCCTTCTCGGTAAGCTCACTATCAGTCATATTTATAAACAGGGGAATATTGTTACATGAAATTCTATTCAAAACTCAGAAGGAAAGGGTGAAGGAGGGTGTAAGATCAGGTAAAGAGAAAAATTAAGAGAAAGAGCAAAAGCAAGATGAAGCAGGCTGCATGTATCTGTCAGTTGTACTCATTTGGGGAGCAGGACTGAGAGATCAGAGTCTTTAAAGAATGACCAATTCGAGATATTGGAATAACGATTAGATATAAAAATGTGTAGGTTTTTTTTTTTTTAAGTTAAACAATGCCAGGCAGCAACAGACATCAGATACATGCTATGTACAAGGCCAGGGTAACAAGTTTAAGGAATCACTGCAAAGAAAATTGCAAACTTTGGCTTGTGCTTGAGGAAGATAGACATGTGTATAAAACTGCATTGAACGTTCCTAACAAAAATACATCAATAAGGTGTTACCCCTACCACAGCATTGCTCCACTGCTGACATATATGGGAAAGTGAGGAATGCTTTTTCTACTAGTTAAGGGTTGTGATAATATAGGGTGTGGTGCTCTCTCTTATTCTCTGTTGAGATTTCCTTCTAAGGAAAACATCTCTACTGATTTAGTTTTTGCCTGATTAGCAAATACAAATTTCTTTCTCAAAATGAATACAACAAAGTATCAAAATGAAAATCATCCTGTTAATCTCATCCTGTTAATATTCTGGCATATTTCACTCCTGACATTTTTCTTTGTGTGTGCTTGCATGCACACACACACACACACACACACACACACACACACAGAGTTACCTCCACGCACCCACATTCATTTTTAAAATTGGAACCATCATCAATGAGTAGTTTTATAGCTGCAATAAAGTCTACAAATGTAATGTACAAAAAGCATAATTCCTCTAAATTTCTACACTGTATTTCAACTAATGTCAGCTGATTTGAGTGGAGTGAGGAGGATCTTTAAATTTGCAACTTCTTTTCTGGCTTTTTGTAGTTCCTTTTGTGTAAATATTTAGTTAATTCCAAGTTCAAACTTCTCTTAGGTGCTGTGTTTCCCCTCTCAAGGGGTCTCATTGCCCTACTCCTTCCTTAGATTGGCATCTGGGGTCGAGGGGTGCTTGCATGCTCTCCTGGTGCTGGAGGAGAGGGGCTTTTGGTCTTGTACTGCCCGCTGGGTTCTTGCTGGCCTCAGTTACACCTGGGCACTAGTGTCTTGTGCTGATGGGTGCTGAGGTATGGCTTGTCTGGTTAGGTCTCCTGGGACATTTGCTGGCCACTGCTGCTGATGACCAGGTCCCTCCATTCTCTAGTTGTGAGGCAGGGTTTCGAGTCTTTGCTG